GCACGGGTCACCTCGGAACGCTGCTCATCCTTACTATGCGGGTCGACTGCACTCTTGGAGACTCGCGCGGACTCATTGCATCCGCGGTGGACCCCCTCCCTGGCGCGCGCAGCACGCCAGGGGCGGCGCTGGAGGCGCCACTAGGAGGCTCCAGCGCCGATATGCACAGATCCACGAAATCAGCGCGGAGCTCCAATAGTCTATGCGTATGCCGCTTGCCTCTTCGAGAGAAGAGGAACACACACCGCCGACCTCGGCACTGGTGAGGCCAGAATAAGCGCCTCTCTGGGAACCTCTTCGAGTCAGCCCCCTGTCAGCGTCACAGAAGATCATAGGTCGCCTAACTTCGCACATCGTCCTCGTCCTTTGGGGGGACCAAAAAGCAACGACACCGCTACCTCCCAGACCGCTCCCAGGGTGCGCTCTGACCAACAACTTCGAAGAAAATCCAGCCGTGGCGACGCGGGCTCTCCAGGACGAGCAGCGCCATCGGTATCGCGCCCTCCTCTCGAGCTCGCGTTCTCCTCCTCGCTGTTCCAGCTCCCCGGGCCGCCTACTCCCCATTCCGTACTGGAGGGCGGGGGTCTGATGCCCTCCAGACAGGCCGTCTCCGACCCCCCAGGGGGAAACACGCCGAAGCCTGAGGAGTCCTTTTGCGGGTCCGCAGCAGTCGTGTGGAGCCCACTGGCTTCCCGAAGAACCCCGAGGAACTCGCAAGAATCCTCTGGAACCTCGTCCCGCGGGGGACGCCCGCATCAAGAAAACAGACCCCCCCACTGACAGGGCCCTGGGACACACAAATAAATAGACACAACAAATAACAGGATTCCCCATATTTTCCCATACCTTCTGGGTTTCTGTCTTCCCCCCCACTTCCCATCTTTTCCCATATTCTCCTGGGAATCGACGATTGATTGTGCCTGTGCGTTTTTTCCCCCTCCTGACCCACCGCCGCGCGCGGACGAGGTGGCCCAGACCGCCCGCCCCCCCCCCCCCCCTGGAGCTAGAGGAAAGAGAACTATGCACATACACCGATCCTGGCCAGGCCCATCTCGAGCCCAGGATCGGTGCATACGCCCGCCACTTTGGCCGGGAAGGTATATGCACCTGCATAAACACAAACCTTCGGCGCTACGCGCGGAGCGCCCATAGCTTATGCTCATGGCGTCGTTTCCTCCCCGGCTTCTGGAACGCACCAAAAGTTCATGCTCATGGCGACTCCTTCGATCCTCGAAGGCAGAGCCCCTTCTGGAACGCACCAATTGGCGCCCGCTGGGTCAAGGACGGTCTTCTTCCTCCTCCTCCGCCTCCTCCTCCTCCTCCTCCTCCTCCTCCTCCTAATCTTCCTCCCCCTAATCTTCCTCCTCCTCCTCCTCCTCCTCCTCCTCCTCCTCCTCCTCCTCCTCCTCCTCTTGGCCGGACGCACCGTATCCTGGCTCAGGGACGGGCCTTGCCAGGACCGGTGCGTGGGCACAGCCCTCTTCGCCCGAGGAGCGAGGCGCCGGCGCCCCTCCCCCGCGCCCTCGCGCCACCGCGCGTGCGCGGCGGCCCTCGCGCCCTCGCGCCGCCGCCCCGGAGAGGGACGCCTCCGCGGCCCTCTCCAGGGAGGAGGAGGAGGAGGAGGAGGAGGAGGAGGAGGAGGAGGAGGAGGAGGAGGATGGGAGGAGGAGGATGAGGAGGGGGAGGAGGCCTGGAGAGGGGCGCCTCCGCGGCCCCAGAGGGCCGCGAGGCGCGGAGCGCGGTCCGCTCTTCGCGGCCCCCCGCGGGGGGGCCCAGAGGACCTCAGGGAGCTGCAGGGGCGGCCCCCCGTCGGAGCCCACTCCTCGTCCGGAGCAGAGTGAGGAGCAGGAGGAGCACGCAAGCCGGGCAGAAGGACGAGCAAGGGGGGAGGAGAGGGAGGGAGAGGGAGGGGGAGGAGTGGCGAGAGGAAGGAGGGGAATGTGGACCAGGAAGAACTAGCTGGAGGAAGAAGAAGAAGCGAGGTCCGTCCTCGGCTGGGGTCCTGGGTTGAGTGGCGGCTGCCAGGCTCGTTGAAATCATCTCATACAGTGGAGGCCCGACCAAAAGAAACCTTCCACAAGAAACCCAACCCTGAGACCCCAGGACCTCCATTGATTTTTGGCTTGGGAACGTCGCGCCTTCCACAGCAAAACCATCGAAACCCAGGATACCCAGGGCACCCTGGAGGCAAGCAGGGTGTTTCTTGGCATGGGCCCCCTCTGTATTATCCTCCTTCTGGGGCCAGCTGCGAGGCCAGCTCCGCCGTCGCATCAGCCTCCGCCGCACCTCCGGCGCCAGACCAACCTGGGCCGCCCGGCCTCGCGCGGCCATCTTCGAGCCCTCGCGCCCTCGCGCCGCCCCCGTGGAGAAGGGCAGCCGCTCTGGCCCAGGCCGCGACGCGCGACATGCGCTTCTGTCTTCGCGCCCCCGCGGGCGACCTAGAAAGTTCACTCCTCACGCGGTGAGACTCCGCCACGCTCGACGTCGCACTTCCGGCAGCAGACCAAGGATCGACCTGAACGGTGTTTTTCGTGTTTAGTTTTCGTTGTCCCTCGTTTTGTCTTCAATCCGCCTTTGCTGCAAAGCGAAGTCGAAACGAAAACGGCCCAAGAAATCGCCAAAAACACTGTTTATGTCGACCCCTGAAGCAGACCAACGGGGCATGGACAGAACATGCAAGGGCTTGGAACGAGTCCTGTCAATCTGGACCCGCAGCGACTTGGGACACCTAACTTCGCGCGTCGCGTCCCGCGATGCTCGACGTGCGGTTATCTTGACGCCCTCGCGCCGCCGCCCTGGAGGAGGGTGCCCCTCCAACACTCTCCGACCCAAGCCGCGGCATGCGACGTGCGGTTACCTTCACGCCCCCTCGGGTGACCTAGACTCCCCATGAAGTCCTCCTACGAGGCCAAACCCGCCAACGCGCCCGGTGGCGGCTGACTGGCTCGTTGAAATCATCTCATCGTATCCGGAGAGAGGAGGGATCCAAGAGGTTCAAGAGCGCTCTGCGAGATTTTGAAAGAGGGCTCCATGGTGCTCCTGATCCTTCTTCTCATCATCGTCATGCCCTCCTATTCATCCTCCACCTTTTCTTCATCCTCCTCGACCCCCTTCTGGACCCGACCTCCTCTTCCTCCTCAACATCATCCTCTTCATCCTGATCATACTAAGTTTACTGAACGGCATCCGCCTCTTCATCCTCCTCTTGACTATTCTTCCCCTCCTCCCCGCTCGACAAATTGATTCCCCATCTCGTTCTCCTGTTGCTCATGAAATTCAGAATTGTCATAATCTCCGCCTGTTCCGCCTCCGCTGACACCTCCTTCGCATCTTCATCCTCATAGTCCTGCTCATCATTATCATCCTCATCCTCATCGTACTCATCCTCCTCCTCATCATCACCATCACCATCACCATCACCACCACCACCACCACCACCACCACCACCATCATCATCATCATCATCATCATCATGATCATCATCATCATCAACATCATCATCATCACCATCATCATCATCATCATCATCGTCGTCATCCTCCTCCTCCTCATCATCACCATCATCATCCTCATCCTCATCCTCATCATCATAGCATCATCAGCAGCATCAACATCGTAGTCGTCGTCATGATCATCATCATCACCGTCATCATCATCATCATATTCATCCACATCCTCGTCATCATCCTCATCCTCATCATTGGCATCAGCATCAACATCAGCGTCATCAGCGTCATCAGCATCATCAGCATCATCATCATCATCATCATCGTAGTCGTCATCGTCATCATCATAACCACCGTCATCATCCTCATTATCTGCGGCCTCCTCATCCTCCTCATCATCAGCATCGCCATCATCATCATAATCATCATCGTCACCGTCACCATTACCATCACCATCACCACCGCCATCATCATCACCATCATCATCACCATCATCATCACCATCATCATCACCATCAACTCCTTTGCCTTATACAGAACTTCTCACTGTCGCACCACGAGGCCAGTTTTAGGGCTGGCCGGGTTTTTCGCCTGAGAATTCCCCACCATTTATGACCCTGAAGCTCAAGACCTGGAAGCTGGTATCAAGCAGAGCAGATGAAGGGCGGAGTTTTCCAGAAAACCAGAAACAGATTTTAAAACCACTTGAAACCCTGAGCAGATGGAGGACGGGTTGTTTTCAAAATGTGGCTCTCGCCTTAGCGCCGCGCGCATTCGTTTTCAAATGTGCAAGAGCTTCACGGATTGAGGGTGGGTGGCTTTCAAAATGTTGCTCTCCCCTTAGCACCGCGCATATTCGTTTAAAAGAATTGCAGGGGGTTCACGGATTCAGGGCGGGCCATTTTCAACATGTGGCTCTCACCTTAGCGCAGCGTGCACTCGTTGTAAAGATTTGCAAGAATTTTGCAAATTGCTGGCGGTTCCTTTTCAAAATGTGGCTCTCGCCTTAGCGCCGCGCACATTTTGCAAGTTTCAAGAATTTCACGGGCTCCTAGTAGCAGCGTGCCAGAAACGGTGTTGTGGAAAGATTCAGGAGTATGGGGGTGCGACAATTACGTCGATTCACGGTGTTCAAATCCCCAAAATGGCGTTCTGGCACAATTCAGGATCGTCAAGACGCAACAGTCACGTTGATCCGTGGCGTTGGAATCCCGAGACCAATGTTTTGGCATGCTTCAGGGTCTTCAAACGGTTGTCTTCCAACGAAGCAGTTCCCTCAATGGAAATGAACCGTTGTAAGGGCCTATGAAGAGGGAGCTCGGAGGGAGGGTTTATTCCAACATCGCTGATGACTCTTGGGTTTACAGTGGTCATCAGTTCTCCTCCCCTTCTCCTCATCCTGGTCATAACCCTCATCCTTCCCGTCTTCCGATTCCTCCTCCTCCTCCTGCTCTTCATCTTCCTCGTCCTCTTACCTCCCCCTAGATGCTCCTTCTCCTCCCCTGGATGCTCTGAAAGAGGCGTTGCCGTTTGAAGGCTCGCACGCCCTGGGGCCTCGCTGATGGACCCCGTGATGAGGCTCAGCATCGTGTACGCGGTCAGCAAGATGCCCGCCGACCCCGCAGGGAAGCAGAGGGGCGCACGGCAGGAGTGAAGGGGAACGAACAATGACATAAAGATCAAAACTCGGAGGTCCGAGTGGACTTCTCGGATCGGCGCTGGACTCCCCTGGCGGCGCCTCCGGCACCGCCCCTGGCGCGCTCCGCGCGCCAAAGATGGGGGTCCAGCGCCGGTCCGAGAAATCCGCGCGGACCTACCTCGGAGTTTTTATGTTTATGTCATTGTTCGTTCCCCTAAGGAGTGAAGGGGAGGAGAAGGTGCAACAAGGAGGAGGAGGAGGAGGACGACGACGACGGGGGAAAGTGGAGAGTGCGGAGATTGGGGGGGGAGGGAACACAGGAAGAGGGGGAGAGGGAAGTAGGGGGGAAGCGACGAAGGAAGAGGGAAGGGATATATATATATATATATATATAGAGAGAGAGAGAGGAAAAGAGAAAGGGATAGAGAGAGAGATGTTGAAATGTGGCCAAGGGCCTTGTGTGATAATCCCAAGAGCCCAGGCGGTCGTACCTATAACATGATGATGTACCCCCACGTGCCGGCGTGCCAGGGAACGAGAGGAGCAGGCAGACGAAATCGATCATTATTGAAACATCGCGCTGCCTCAACTCGAAACCTGAAAGTACTGCGACTCTTCCTTCTCCTGCCAAGGCTAGCGGCATCCGCAAGATCGTGGATAAAACATTGCGGCGGCAAATATGAGAAATCCACTTCCCCTCTCGGAGACAGTGAGCACAATCTCGTCCCAATCAGACAGCGTCATGATGATGAATAAGGTCCGCATGGAGTTACCGATATGCCCGAACCAGACGGAGATCTGCTCCTCATGGTCCCCCCAAAGCGCCGCATTGTGCCCGACGAGCTGCGTCAGGAAGATCGCGCACACGTAGTCAAGGATGAGCACCAGCAGAGACACCCACACGACGGTGGCGAAGGCCTTAAAGAAACACTCCATGATGAGCGCCAGCTCCTGGAAGATCGAGAACAGCCTTATTATCCTCAGGATGCGGAAGAGGCGCAGCAGCTTGAAGCTCCGCAGCTCCGGATAGTGCTTACCCCCAGCAAACAACGGGATCAGATAGAGATCCAAGATCGACACGAGCACTAAGAAAGCGTCGAACAAGTTCCGCTTGAGGGCCACATAGCCGTGCAGTCCCAACTGGTCGATCTTCAGCAGCATCTCCATTGAGAAGATGAGCGTGAACAGATGCTCGAGCACGTCGAACGCGCCATCACCCCAATCCGTCTGAATTCCGATTGCCACCGCGTTCAGAGTGATCACAGACGCGATGCCGAAGTTAAAGCGCCCGCTGCGCACGTCCACGAGCCAGGAGGTCCTCCCTGGCACGACGCCGCCCTCGAAGGCGCTGCCGTCGGCGAGCTGGCGGTCCTGGGGAGACCCGGAGGTACCGCTACCGCTACCCGGGGTGCGTTCTGACCAGAATTTCGAGGCGAATCCAGCCGTGGCGGCGACGGCCTCCCAGGAGGCCCCCCAGGTGGAAAACTGGGAAAACGAGTGGAGGGCACTGAGATCGGAGAGCTGACGCTCAGGCGGGAGCTGCATCTCGAGTCTTCACGCCCCAAGCACTCACCGAAGCTGCACGTCACCGCTGTTCCCGCGGACAGGGTGCCACCAGAGCCCACTGGCAACGGGATCAGCATCAGGTTGGGCGACCAGCGTCAGGTAAGGGGGGGATTATAGCGGTAATCGCACTAGGCCTTGATACCCATCAGTCATGGGGAAATCATATCTTTCTTTCCGGGGGCTCCTTGAAGGATTGGGACGACCACTATACTCGGAAAATAATCACTCCGCCGCCGCCGCCACCGCTGCTGAAGGAGAGGAGGCGAAGAGTAGGAGGATGAGGAGGAATGAGGAGGACAGGGCGAACCAGGGTCGGGAGCGGCCAAAAGGGGGGTGTCCAAGACGGGGGGTGCAAATCATGACCGGCAGCATGTGCGCGGCCCAGCGGGGGGGCCAGGGACGCAATGAAATAAGAAGAGGCGCAATGAAATCTGGGGCGACATCATGGCCCACGCCATGGTATCCCCCCCCCGTAGTCATCACCCCCCTCGTTGCCGCCCCCGAGAGAAGGAGGAGGAGGAGGAGGAGGAGGAGGAGGAAGAGGACTGAGGAGGACAGGGCGAACCAGGGGACGCGCGGAGTTCATTGCCGGCCAGGAGCTCCGGGGGGGAAGGCACGTGCAGCATGCAAAGCGGATCGCGGCTACCTTCTCCCTTTCCCCAAGGGCTCCCAACTTCGCGCTTCGCGCTCTGCGAAGCGCGAACAACTTCGCGCTCTCGCGCCGCCCCCCCAAAAGGAGAAAAGGAGGACGAGGAGGAAGGGGAGGAGGAACGAGGACCGCGAAGCGCGAATAACGTCGCGCCCCGTGGGAGCCCCTGTTTTCCCCCTCTGAAATCACAGGCCGTCGCCCTCCCGACGAACGACCGCTTCACCGACCCCCGGGGATGTCTCGACCCATTCCCCGGGACTGGCTTTTCCTCCCGAATCGTTGAGACGCTCCTGGGGCCTGGCGAGGGCTCCTGGAGGCCGAAGGCGGCCAAAAACTGCCCGCCCGGATTTTTGTCACGACGCGAGCATCAAGGCTCGACCTCAACGGTGTTATCCGTTTTCGGTTTGTTTTCGTTTTCCCTCGTTTCGTATTCGTTCCGCCTTTGCGGCAAAACGAGAGCAGAACGAAAAGGTCCACGAACTCGCCCAAACACCGTTTAGGTGTAGCCCTGGCGAGCATGTCTAGGTTTTCCCCCTGAGGTCCCAGGCAGTCGCCATGCCGACGAACGGCCAGCTCGCTGGCGCCTCGTGGGGGGTGGCAGGGAAGGCTCCTTAGAAGCAGGGGTGCTTCTAAGATTTGGACGCCCGAAATGGGTACGGAAAGAATGGGTACGATGCCCAACAACAAATGTTGTCCCAAACCAACAGCAGCCGCTGTTGGGCAGGCGGCCTTCTGTCTCGTATGGACACAGGCCGCGGCGGCGTGGACAGCGAGTCCTGTCCAAAATGAACAGGAACTGCTGCTGGGCATTGTATCCATTCTTTCCGTACCCATTTCGGGCGTCCAGATAAGAAGCATCCACCCCCTCCCCCTAACCGCCCCCTCAGTCTGTGCGTGGCTGCATCCAGACGGAGCCAGCCCAGACGGAGGCCGAGCACTCCGTGCGGACCCGCCCCGTGCGGACTCGGCATCCTGCCAGGAGAGGCTGAGCCCAGACGGAGCAGGCCCACATTGAGGCCGAGCACTCCGTGCGGAATCACCCCGTACGGACTCAGCATGGGCGAAGCGGATCCTGGGGGAAACGGGTCCTGGACCCTGGTGCTTTCTCCCTGGCCGAGCTCTTCCTCCCGAGTCGCTTCTGGACACCAGGGCCCCCGTGGAGGGCCCCGAGAGGAAGAGAACGGCGAAAAACCTCAGGACTCGTTTCCTTCAGGACCCGCTTCCCCCACGGCGAACGGACTGCGCGTGTTGGCGGCGCGCACACAAAGGGGCAGGGGAAGGGGGGAAGGCTTCTTAGAAGGAGGCCGTTTCGTAGAAGGCGCCAGCCCTACATCTACACAAAGGCCCGCGCGTTCTAAGAAGCAGGGGTGCTTCTAAGAAGCCTCCCCCCCTCCCCCTACCCATCGGTCGGAAGAAGTAGGTGAAAGCATGAAGTAGGCAGACGTTCAAAGTAGATTGGGGTCCGCCCGCCCCATGAGGAGGACGGAAAGAGTGAAGCCACTCGACCATTGCATTGAAGTAGAAAGGCGCTTAGAGTGGATTGGAATCTGGGAATCCCAAAGTAACCACTTTCAACGACCGATGTCTACACCCCCTGTGCGCGTGGCCGAGCGTGGCCGGCGCCTCGGCGGTGGCACGCTTGGAGGGCGCGCGCGACAGCTGCGGCCCCTCGCGCGGCCCCTCGCGCAGCGGGCGGTAGCCCGGGTCTGCGGCGCCGCCGCCCGGCTCCATGCCCGCACGGCCTGGCCGGCCGGGCGCGGCCCCCCCGCGAGGCAGAGGCAGAGGCAGACTGAAACGAAGCCAGGACGAGGATCAAATTCGAGATTCGATCCTCGAGCCTCGACCCTGGAGCCTCGAGCCTCAATCCTCGATCCTCGATCCTCGAGCCTCGAGCCTCGATCCCCGAGAACGGCCCGAGGAAAACTCGAGCCTCGATCCTCGAAACTCGAGCCTCGAGCGTCGATCCTCGAGGGCTGCCCGCGCTCGTCCGCCATGGACGCACCGCGACAAACCTTGCGGGGTCAATGCCCCTCCCCCCCTTGAAACAAGGCAGGACCAGGACAAAATCAGGCGGGGAATTAATCGAGAATCTCTGAGGTCTGGCGGCTCTGGAGGATGTCTCGGGAGCCGCAGCCTTCTCAAAGCGTTCCAGAACGCCCTGGGAGCGTCCTGAAACGCGCCCCTCCTCCTCCCCCTCCTCCTCCTCCTCCTCCTCTTCTTCTTCTTCTTCATGTTCCTCCTCCTCTTCCTCCTCCTCCTCTTCCTCCTCATCCTCCTCCTGCTCCTCCTGCTCCTGCTGCTCCTCCTGCTCCTCCTGCTCCTGCTGCTCCTCTTCCTCCTCCTCCTCCTCCTCC